CCACTAGCCACATGTGGCTATTGAGCACTTGAAATGTGCCAAGTGTGACTAAGGAAGTGAATTTTAAATTTTATTTAATTTTAATTAATTTACATTTAAATTTAAATATCTACATGACTACCACAAATATCCAATGGCTGCCTTCTTGGACAGCACCAAAGAAAAGAGCCGCTGATGGCATGGACGACCAAACCCAGGAGGGCAGGCGTTCTCTTCAACGGAGATAGTCAAGCTGAGGTTGGATGATTATAAAAGGGGGATGCAGAAGAATTCTTGAATTGGGCAGATCCTTTCAACTTTGACCTGCTGGGGTTCTCACCACTCGATTGCTTTTCTTCTACATTGTATTTTTTCTTCACTAAACCACCCAATCCCTTTCTGCCGGTGATATCATACAACCCAACCGGGGATGGCTTCTCCCCTTGGGCCTCACAGCGACGGGTGCAGGGCTTGCCCTGGTGTCCAGGCCTCCAAGATGAGCTTAGCAACAGAGGATGATTCTGTTTGCATTTGTTTTCAATCAGCTAAGAAACAGGAAGCACCATTCAATTGTTCCCTGCCCAGGAATGATGCGCACAGCTCTCTCCTGGCTGGTGTTTTTCAGAACAATGGAAATAAATCTGATGTAATGTAGCAGAACACGACAAGGGACGGTTTTCCCTTTAACAAATACTCATTTGAAATGGTGCCCAAACCCTGTACGAGGAGCGATCCATTTCCCACAACAGTGTTCCAGCAAAACCCATTACTAATTCCACAACTCAAATTAAAACTAACAGAGCTTGAAGGCTGGGGCTGAGGCACTCTCTGCTGACAAGGAGCAGGGAAAGGTGGGGGAAGGGGCCCTCGCACTCGCATGTGTATGTGTTTAATTACACTGTTTAACACATCAAGAATAATTTAGCCACCCAAGTGGAGAAAATAAGGCACTTAACTGCTCTCGGGTGGAAAAAAGCCCCATGCAAACCTGCTTTCAGCTATATGCCACATCAGCACACCTCAGGGCTTTGAAGAGAGGAGGGAAAAGAGAAGGAGAAGGGTGGGGAGAGAGAAAGGAGAGACAGCGCAAGGGAGAGACAGGGTGGGATGGAGACAGAGAATGAGAGAATAGAGAGAGAGGGGGGAGGAAGGAGAGAGAGACAGAGCAAGAGCAGGGGAAGGAGAGAGAGAGAGAGGGAAGGAGAGCGAGGGAGAGATGCAGGCAAGCACAGAGAGGAGAAAGGAGGGAGAGAGAAAAAAAGAGAGAAGGGATAGGGAGGGAGGGAGAAAGAAAGAAAAACGGTATTTTGTGCACATACAAATCTACTGTGAGTCAGGAGAACTGTCTCCCCTGACTCATAGAAACAGTCAGTGACTATTTCTCAAGGAGGGCTTGTATGAGGTGGTGGAAGGGTGAGAATGAAGATAAATTTTGGATTTCTATTTTTTTTTTTTTTGCTGAGGAAGATTATCACTGAGCTAACATCTGTGCCAATCTTCCTGTATTTTGTATGTGGGTTGCCACCACAGCATGGCTGATGAGTGGAGTAGGTGTGAGCCTGGGATCTGAACCTGTGAATCTAGGTCACCAAAGCAGAGTGCAGGGAACTTAACCACTATACCATGGGGCCAACCCCAAATTTTAGATTTTTTTTTTCCAGGAAGATTAGCCCTGAGCTAACACCCACCACCAATCTTCCTCTTTTTGCTGAGGAAGACTGGCCCTGAGCTAACATCCATGCCCATCTTTCTCTACTTTATATGTGGGATGCCTACCACAGCATGGCTTGACAAGCAGTACATATGTCCATATGCTGGATACAAACTGGTGAACCCTGGGCCACCAAAGTGGAGTACGTGAACTTAACCACAACGCCACCAGGCTGGGCCCCAAATTTTGGATTTTTAAATGAAACTTAACCCCTGGGCCAGTGCTTTCCCTGAGCTACTCCCCCACTTCAGGGTCATTCCAGCGTGTTTCCATGTCTTTGTGGCCTGAAAACCATGAGTGGGGTTTGGGATCCCTAGAAAGGCAGGCCTTGGAGGAAGCCTATGCAGGGCTTACTTTGCAGAAGGGGAAACTGAGGCTTAAGATCAAATAGGAGAAATTGGACAGTGCTTGGAGTAGACTCCTCTCCAGTGCCCAGCTTCAAGGCTGAAGATCCGACCTGCAAGGAAAGCATCTCACTGCCCCTGGAAGGGGGCACCTTACTGTTTGTTTAATTAGGGCTGAGAGGGGTCGGAGAAAATCTCATATCCATCAAGGACCATGGGAGAGGGAGAAACGAAAGAAGCCTCTCGCCATGGCTTCAGATTTAGAAAGCTACAAAGCTCCCCAGATCTGGAACAGGTGCCAGAGAGGGAAGTGCTGAGAATAGAACTATCTGTTGCCTGCCAGTGACTCTGGGTTCAGGATCGAGGCTGACTGCCAAGGAGATGAACAGCCTGGCAGGAGAGAGGCAGGAGGCAGAAGCTACTTTCCGTGGCCCATAGACAGGACAACCCCATCCTCCTCTCTCCCCAGTCACCTTGCCATGTGGACCCAGCCTTTTCGGGAACTCACAGCCTAAGGGAGCTCAGAGGCCTCAGCTGATGGGTCAGTCCTTCTCAGGAGGCCCTGCAGGGTAACAGACAGAACAAGTGCCCGATGGACAGGAGTCTGTGCAGCTCCACTAAGACTGTGAGCTGTGGGCAAGCCGGTCCACTCCTCTTGCCTCAGTTTCCCCATTTGGAACCCCAAGAAGGTTGGACTTACTCTTTCAAGTGATTTCCAACTGTACCATTCTGTGTTTCTGGAACTGAGAATGCAGGTTCTTAGGTACCCTAAATGACACTGTTGGGCAGACAATGAAACAGGGACCCACCGAATATATCATTCGTTTCAGTTAAGTTTAGGTTTGTCATATGCAAACAGAAAAAAGAAACATGTCTTTGCATGAAAGGATCCTCCTTCCCATTCCAAAAATTCTTTGATATATATCATTCAATTATGAAAGAGGGCTAGAAAGTTCCTGAGTCGACTGTCAGTGTATTCTGAGGACAAGGTGGGACATTCTTTCTGGATTCTGTAACTGTACATGTCCCGGAAATGCTGTGTAATATTTGATATGATCTCGGATTTCTGGGCATGGATTTCTTTTTTCATCCTTGAAGAGAGAATGTACTTCCTACTTAGCTAGCTCAAGGCCCCTCTTAGGCAAATTAGGAGGATTTAGGAAGTTGGGCTGTCAAGTGCCAAATTACAATCTGGGTCTAAGAGCTCCCATTTCAGACCCACGCTCCTCAGCAGGCCCAGGCTCCAGACTGCTCACTGCCCAGAGGCCTGAACCAGAGGGGCTCAGCCAAACCCTGAGCGTATTTCGTATTGGGTTTAGAGCCTTGTGTTCTTTGGAAGTGGATACCACATTTAGATAATTGATTCATTGTTAAAGGATTTCCACTTGGCCTATCTTAGGCTTTCAATGAAGTGAGACAAAGAGAAAGTGAATGAGACAATGACAGAGTGACAGAGAGACTCAGACAGAGTGAAGCAGAGAGACAGAGACAGCTGGTTAGTGGAGATGGAGATCTGGAGGAAGTCAGTGGGAGGAATGAGAGGCCCAAGATGGAGGGGAGGGAAAAATCCACTAAAGAAAGCATCCTCACACCGTTCCAGCATCCCACAATGCAGAACTAGTGTCCAAATGTCACCGTGCTTTCCTCTCCCTCAGATGTGAGCACTCACGGTCCACCTGGAACACAGACGTGCAGTGGCTGCCACTCCCTGATGAGGTCCCTCCTTCTAAGCCAGATCATATGGTGAGATCCAGGGCTCTGCCTCTGGCCACACACAGTGGAGAGAAAAGGAGAGGGAAGGCAGCATTTGGACCTCTAGCCCTGTTACCTTGGGTGTCCCAGTCTGTGCACAGCTATTTCCAGGCATCTCAGGCCTGTGGCAGCCACAGAGGTGAGTGGGCAGAGCCCTGGACTTGGAACCTCCCCACCCTGGTGTGGAGGTGACAGGGGTGGGGAGAGAGGTCCAGTAGCACCACCAGCCAAGCACTCTGGCTCAAGAAGACTCCTTCTCCCACTAGCTCGGGTCCCCATGACAGTGGTACAGAAAGCCCAGGCCAAGCTACTCGCTCTGAGACTTTTCTGAAAGTAATCTTAATCCAGGGGGATGGGGTCCCGCTTGTAGGGTGGGCCAGCAGAGGGGAAAAGTCTTTTGAAAACAAGAGCTTTCTATATTAAATGTCAAAAAGCATCATGAAAGAGAACGAACTTAGAACACAAGTGTGTGTGTGTGTGTGTGTGTGTGTGTAAATGTGTGTTTGAGTGGGTGGGTGATGCAGAGAAAAGCAGCCGAGGGGGGCTTTAAGTCTCTGAGGGCTCCCGCTATCCTTCCTTCATTGTTTCCCATCCCCACTTCTAAAAAATCCAAGAAGACCAGAGCATTTGAAGGTGGAGGCTGGGGTAAGAAGGAGAGACAGTCGAGAGAGGAACAGAAATGGCCTAGAACCTGCTTGTGAGGGGGCATGAGGCAAGCGGTGGGAGGGACAGGCCAGTGGGGAGAACGACCGTGCCTGCAGAGCCTTAGCCTGAGATGTGGTGGAGACCTCTAGCTCCCACCTGCTGCCTGGGCCACATGCCAGGACAGGTGAGGCCGGCAGGGGCCATGGGGGAGTCCTGTGCCTCTCTTGAGACAGTGACCCGGTTGAAGGGAGAAGACAGGGTTCGCGAACAGTGTCAGAGGAAGACACGGGCGCTGGATCAGGACAGCCTCTGAGTTGATGGAATGTGCCTGAGGTGGCCCGCAGGCCAGAGAAGTAGGCACCAGCCCATCTTGAATGCCTCTGCCCTGAACTTCTCCCCCAGGCAACGTCATCTGACAGTTTCTTTAGTTCCTGAAAGGAAGCTGGAGATTTTGGAGAGGGAGCTAAATGCTGTCGCTCAGCTGGTTGGCAGCCACTTCTGGTTAAGGATTAGACTGGGGAGAGGACAGAATGTTGGGCTAAGAGAACCAGGGAAAGGACCTCTCCTACCTCAGCTGCTTGAAAACCAGTTGGATCCAGATGGTGGTCACTGGCTGCATCTCCTGAAGGAAGGAGTGTGGTCAGTTCTGATGGACACAAGCACCTCAGGGTCTCTGGTGCACAGGCTGCGGTGGGGTCTGGCTCAGGTCTCTGAGCTGCATGGGAGGTCCTGGTCATGCCTGATCCACAGGCCTGAGAGATGGGCCTGGCTGGGCTGACCCTGCAGGTGATCAGAGGCAGAGTACTGCCTGAGGGACCATCCTTTCAGAGAGAAATCAGAGGTTCTGGCCACTCTCAGTTTTAAAGGTCCCTTGTGGCTGATTTGGCAGAATAAGAGTGTTAACCCGGGAGCCCTGGCTGTCTTCCAGACCAGGGACTCAGAGGTAGCCCATTGCTGGGGCTTTACATTAGGACACGATATGTCTCAACTTTCGTACAATTCTACCAGAGGCAGCGGCCATGGGGCAAGCCTTCACTTCCACAACCCTATGCCATCTCTTAAAAATTTATATGTGTTTATTAGCTAACCAGATCATCTCTGAGGTTATGCAGGAGCTGGAAGAGAAGACCGTCAGCTGACTTTCAACATGAGCATCATAGATTACAAAGGGCTGGAAGACCTCTTAGGGATCACCTTGTTCAAATATCTTAATTATTAAGATGAGGAAACATTTGGCTGAGCTTTCCTGGTTGTCTATTGAAAGAACCGGCTTTGCAGATGGGGAAGCACGCCTGGCTTCACATTATATTATAGAATTTTTTTTTTAATACTATTAACTTAAACTGTAAACTTTATTGAAATTTCATCAGTTTTTCTGCTTATGTCCTTCTTTTTTTTTTTGGAGGAAGATTAGCCCTGAGCTAACTACTGCTAATCCTCCTCTTTTTGCTGAGGAAGACTGGCCCTGAGCTAACATGCATGCCCATCTACCTCTACTTTATACGTGGGACACCTACCACAGCATGGCTTTTGGTAAGCGGTGCCACGTCTGCGCCTGGGATCCGGACTGGGGTACCCCGGGCCGCCAAGAAGCGGAACATGCACACTTAACTGCTGCACCACCAGGCCGGCACCCTATATTGCAGAATTTTTTATTTAAAAAGGTTATACAAAGCAAAAAGTAGTGCATGGTAGAAAAGAGTCCCCTGAGAATTCAGGGACCAAGACAGAAAGAGAGATGGAACCCAGGCTCGCCAGAGTCCAGAGCACTGGCCCCAACGAGTATTCAGTATGAGAAGTGCTGGCACAGTTAGTTGCATTAGTTTCTTTGTCTTGGCCTTCTCGGACCCTTTATATGCAAATCTGAATCATGACTCTCTAAGGAGGGTAGGGAGGAGGAAACATTTACCCAAGTGTTTGATCATAGACATTTTACATCAAGGAGCTCCCACCCCTCCCAGCACTAGTGTTCTATGCACCGTGCTTTAGGAAACACTTGTTCAAGAGACAGAGTCCCAAGGGTGGTAGAAAATCAGCCTTCTTCTCTCGATTCTGCTCTAGTCTTTTGCATGGCTTCGGGCTTTCTTACCATCTGTCAATGGCATACTCTGCCGTAAAAGGTTTGAGAGAGGAAGGATGCACTCAGTCTGACCTTTTATAAACATTGAGGAGAGAGGGGCTGGAGCCGTCTCCCTGAGGACCTCATCATGGTTGTCTTTTGGGAGAAAGAGGTGACTCCTTAAGATCAGGGAACATTAGTGCCTTGCATAGTGTCCAGCAAATATTAATAACGATAATTTGATTTGTATCAGACAAATCTTATGTACTGTCTCAGGTTCTCTTGGTGTTGCCTGTCTCTGTAACTCTTAGCCCTTTGTGGCCACAGACAAAGAAGTAGCTTTTTTGACTACTTCTGGACTCAGATGAGGTGCCTAGCCTCAAGGAATAGGAACTGGATTTCCCAGTGCTGCCAAAGGGGCCAGACGGTTCTGGAGAGTTAACCTCCCATGGAACAAACTTTACCCTCGCCTTTCTTAAAGTCTACCCTCAGACAACTCATATCAGAAATACCCAGTTTTCAGAGCTACTGAATACATATCTCTGGGAGTGGAGACTCAGAATCTACACAATGATGACACTCTGGGGAAATTCCTATGCTGGCTAAAGTTTGGGGCACTATCTTGGCCCCAAGTCCTGGGAGGTCACCACTCACACCCTACCTGTTTCCTAGTCAGGTACATGGAATGGCGCGTTCCCCGAGTTAGGACTGGGCAGGTCCCACAGGCTCGGCAGCAGCAGCTTCGTGGGATGGAGCCTGGTGGAGGAGGGTGGCAGTCTCTTTGGAGAAGCGGCAGGCTGGCGTGCTGGCAGCGCTGGCATCTGCTTGCTTTCTCTCCTTAGGCTCTTCCTTATACGGGCACCCCAGGTATTGCCCCGCCTTAGTTAAACAATAACTCCAGCATGTGCCTTGGTGCCTCCTGGAGAGAGAATACTGGATTTAACTGCAAGATCTTCCCATTACCCCCCGCCCCCCAAGCCTATCTCCACCTGATCCCACTTCACTTCCTGGAGTCCGAGTTGCCTATTTCTTGGCTGCCTGGGTTGTGGCTTTTTTTCATTGTTTCCAGGTACTTCAGTTTCTTTAGTCTACTTCGGGGAATTGGTGTTTCTACAAAACCCCTCTCAGAGCGCAGAGGAAGTGCTGAGAAAAGCAACCTTCCTCCAACCTCGTTCTCAAGCCGGGCAGTGCAATTGCCATGTGTTGCACACCAAGAGCGGCCACTCAAAGTAAATCACATCACATGGTCTTTCTGCTGGAGAGAGCATCTTCTTTCCACAAATATATTGCAGAACATATTAATCCCTGGGCATGATGAGACCTGGGGAGAGTCTCCGCATCATCCTTGCTTAATGGATCGGGGAGAAAGAGATGAGGCCTGTAAAGCAGATGCTTCCTGACTCCAGAACCCTGATGGTGTGGCTCACCCTATGTTATGAGAGAATGATAAAGTAGGTAAAGCAAGAAAAAATGTGGAAATCACAAGGAAGTCGTGTGACTGGATCCATCCCCAAATTGTAATGGTTGGCAAAAGATGGGGTTTGGAACATGGAAGGAAGAAATAAGAGCCCTTGCTAAGTGTGGCTCAGACCACACTCCTGGGAGGTAGGATGGTGGTGAGGATGGATCGCTCAGTGACTGGAAGTGGGTTTTAATCCCAGCCGTACAGTTTTTGGCTCTCTGACTTGGACAAATCTCTTCCCTTCTGGGTCTTAAATGACTAATCTGTAAAGTAAGGATTGTGACGCTTGCTTCATCTCCCTCATATGTATTTACTGGAATGCCTGAACCCTAAGGAACATGATCTGAGAGAATAAATACAGTAAACAATAAGCATACTATTGTATAAATGTAATTTATTAAAAATATACGTATATTTGTGGTGTGTGCCCAAAATGATTTTACTGATAGGATACACAATCAAAAATGTTTGAAAGCCATAGTTTCAGAAAATAATGGTGTGAAAATACTTTAGAAAGCCCTACCCACGTAAGTCTATCTTGAGATAGTGCCTAAAGAAAAATAATTGGGAGTTTTCCTATTTACTGATGCTGATTTTGACTCCTCCCATTTCATAAAATACTTTTTTCCCTCAGAGCAGGAGTGTTGCCCCAGAGCAGATTTGGGGAGTGTTGAGTTAAGAAGGGAAGTTGCTCCCCGGAATGTGTTCCTAGTGCCAAGAGACAAGAGGCTTTGGGTGACAGTTGTGCCGTAAGATCGGCTTACGTGAGGGACCCTGGGACGAAGAGCTGTTCACAAACCCAACGGGCTATTTTCTTTCTGGGCTTCATTGGCTCTTTGATGTTCTCCCTCCTCATTCATATGTGCTCTTTAGATGCCAACTCTTGCTGCTTTGTGTTTTTCAGAGAATTCTAGCCTGAGACTATAAACTGAGTAACCTCTAGCCATAATTTTCTGGCTGGACTTCCTCCAGGTCTGAAGGGAGTGAGGTGTGCCCCTCAAATCCTTCCCACGCTGGGCAGTTCGCATCTGCTCTGAAATGCAGCCTGTTGGTCCCCACATGGGATCCAGTCTCTGTTTCACTGAGGCTTGATTGCCTTCATGCCTACAATAGCCACTCTGTCACAAGGCCACCAAGGCCTCCACTATCACTGTCACGTGCATAGACCCTGCTGTGGTCACTCAAGCCTGGGCCACCAGGGCTGTGCCTCAAGTGCCCACTGGATGTAGAAAATGCAGTCATCACCACAGTGCTGCGTCACCCCGCCCTTCTTGTGCCAGTGTCATGGCCATCCCCTGAGGCTGCCACCTGCACCCAGAGGTTGACACTTCATTCTCTCAGGGTCCTACAGAAACGACAGAGAAATCACTCTTTTGCAACCTCCTCTGAACCAGAAGAAAATCGGAGACAGACTGGGCTCAGGGTCCCCGCCCTCCCTTATGAACCTAGGCTACAGTCCTTGAACCAGTCTTGGCCACAGTGAGTCTAGCTTCCCTTGGGATGATTTCTTTCTCAGGAGACTCTACTCACTCACTTAATATATTCCTGAGTGCTCCTCCCGTGCCAACCTCTAGCAATGCCTCAAAACACCAGATCCTGGAGACACAACTCTTCCTCGCTCCCTCCCTCCCTTCTTTTTCTCACTTTCTTCCTTCTACTCCTCTATCCTTTCTCTCTGCCTGCTTCCCTCTCTCTCCCTTCCATCATTCCTTTACAAATTGTTTCACGGTGGCCACCTATTCCAGGCACTGTGCTGGGCCTGGGAGACTCAGCCACAGACCCAGTAGACACAGCAAGCCCTGGTTGCTTAGAGGTTTGTGAGAAAGACACACACGAAGCCAACGACCAAAAAAACAGCTGGATCATTTCACTTGTAGTCAGTGCTGGGGAGGTGATTTACAGGTCTATGAGAGCCTAAAACAGGGAAACTTCAGCTGGACTGAGGAGTCATGGGAGGCACCAATGAGGAGTGACAGATAGGGGGAGCCCAGAAAGAGAAGAGGGTAGTGGAGGTGGGCCAGGCAGAGGTGAGAGTGCTGAGAAAGCACAAATCCCAAGTGGACGGCTTGACGAATTTTCAACAAGTGAAACCCAAGTTCCCAGCACCCCAAGTAAGACACAGAACATTATAGGTACCCCAAAGCTCCCTTTCAACCCCTTCCCCTCAAGGTGCCCCCCAAGGCAAACTATCCCCCATCCTGTTCATTTTGATAAGCTCCATCTTCTTCTTCCTTTATAAGAAAGCAAATCCAGTGTTGATTTAGGGGATTAAACCAAATGTCCCTGCAAAATATGACAAAGGGGACTATTGTGGTGGGGCAAACCAGTATTCAGAGTGTTTGCCATGTAATAAATGGATCATCTAACAGATTTTATGTATTTTTACATTCTCCAGTGGGTAGAAAAGCAAAGTCAACAAAGTTCTGTGATTTTCATGACTGCCAAAAAGTAAGAAGAGACTGGAAGCTTGCCCAGCTTGAGTTTTCTGTGATGTGGATTGTGTTCTGGATGGATTATGAACCACCTGAGTCATGTCCTTAGACTTACAGCAAGAGGTGACGAATCAACACTACCTTCAAGAGAAGCCACGTAAACACTCAAGTTTCCAAATCAAAGTGTCCTGGCCCTACCACTTCCTTATTGTGGAATTTTGGACCAGCTACTTAACTCTAAGCCTGTTTCCTCAACTTCAAAATGGTGATAATAATAGAATCTGACTCATCAGGTGTCAAGAGAATGAAAAAAGCAAAGGCAGGTTAGTTTCTTGATACTAAGTCTGGTAGATAGTAACTATTTAATAAATGGTGGCTATTATTTAGTACAACCAGACATAGTGCCTGGCCAGTGGAAGTTTAGGAGAACCAGGTCAGGAGAGAGGCTGGGACTTCTAAGGTGGAAGCTGTGGACTCTTATGGGAAGGATAAAGGTGATAACCCAGGGGAGGGAAGTAGAGCCTGACACTGACCAAGAGAAAGCCTGGAGGAGGAAAAGGAACTCATTTTCATTTGTTTCTTAAAGTTCTGTTTCAATAAGTAAGTTTACATACTGTAAAAATTGCCTGAAGAAACCACCAGAGACTGGCTTGATATATTTGTTGCTGGTGTTGCCACATGTGCTGAACTGAGAAAGACAGAAGCATTTGGCCAAGGAGAAATGAGCTCTGCTACTAATGCGGAAAACTTAGTAATGGGTGGGTGGAAGGAAATGAACCCCTTCCCTGCCTTCTGACGTGGTGGCTGTGGTGGGAGGGGACTAGAGAAACTCAAGTCTGGCATGCGCCAAGGGAGCAGGAAGGCAACCCTCCAAGAGATGTGTCTGTGTCAGGGCAAGGTTACCAGGTACTTGCTCTGCCCCATTCCATGTTCCAGCATCCCTCAGGGTAAGCTTCTTTGGTGGACACCCAGGTCCATGAAAGCACAGTCAAGGGTGATCACTGTCATTGCAGCCTAGACCCATGGACTAGGACCATAGTTTATCCTGGGACTACTAATGGATGACAAAACAGGATATGGGACTGCATTGCTATTTCCTTCTTTGGTGTATCTCCGATAAACAAGTTCTTAGGAATTTGAGGCAAGAAAACTTAGGTCAGCCAATGCAAGTGTGTGGGTTGGGGAGGGTTGGTGTAAGCCATACTCTCTGCTTTCATTCTTCAGCTGACCCGCAGTTCTTGTGGGAAACTCTTCCTTCTTCCTGAAAGGTGACAAATAGGGTGGGGTAGGGAGAAGTACAGATAAGAAATGCTCAAAGTTGGTGCAGAATGGCTTGAAGACAGAGCAAGGGTGTTTGGTAAACGGGTGGGGAAATGTTTCACTTGCTCAGAAAACTCAGTGACCAACCTTGGGGGTGAGCAGACCTCAGGGAGGAAAAGGCAGTGTGCCCAGGACAAAGGCTTGGCACGCAGGTTCTTGCAGGGACTGGGAATCCTCTGGACCTGGTGGCAGCACCAACCCAAGTTCACACGGGGCTCTGGTGAGATGGTTTAGTTGTGAATCAGACACCTGAAAAGAGGCTCTCAGTCCCAATGGGAGAGACCTCCAGGGACCCCCTAAGAAAATGATCTTGGAGAGCCTGGTTAAGCCAGTGCTGCTTCTCCCTGTGGATTTCTGGGCTTCTCCATCTGTCCCCCAATGTAATAAAAAAGAAAACTAATTAAAAAGGATGCCTTTGTTTATTTGAGGGGACAGAAAGAAAGGAATGTCCTGAAAAGACTGTCTCCATCTAAGCCAGTCTTTGGGGTGACAAAAGTAACTACAACAGAGCAGATAAATGATTCCCCAGAAGAAAAGAAAAGAGTAGGTGGTGGCCTTAGAGAAGGAAGAAAGGGGAAGCCTTGGGGCCTGGACTAGCAGAGGATCCGTGTGGGGCTCTTTACCGGGTTGCTAACTGCCACTGACACACTATCTACAAAGAATAATCAAAATAATTT